AAGATGAGTACAGGAGAGGATGGGGCTCATATAGGCACAAGGTACAGTTACTACAATGTTCAAAGAAATGTGCAGTTCTGTGGCACATCCATGTCTAGTTTTTTTGGGGGGAAAAGCACAGTTGTGGCTAAAGTAACAAAAACCTTTCCAATGCTAAATGCACTGACAAAAGCACACATCCTTTTTTTCAGATACAGAGGATGGAGATCATACTGCAAAGCAGGGACACAGTGGCGTTTGCTTCAGGCTACATGGTACCAAAATGAGGTGAAGAAGTCCTTAGAATATAATATCTGCTCTCCTTGTAGCGCAGTTTGCTCAATAAAACATGAAACATCAAAGTTCGAGGTGGAAAACAGACTTTCTCCTGCTGCCACAAACAAGCACATTGAGCTTCTGCACACCAATAAGTCAACTGCATCTCCTGAATCGCGTAACATCGGCACCGCACCGATCTTAAACGTAGCTCGGTTTGAAAACAGCTGGAGGTGAAGATTCAGAACAGAAAGAAAGAACATCCTGCACCTTTAAAGACACTTTTGATGCAACAATACAATGAACAAGAGAGGGAGAGAGGGAGAAAAAAAGGCAGGGAAAACAGATATTTTAGCTCTTGGAGATCCATCTGTTCTTTCTTCAGGCCCTTTGATTCATGATTGTAACCCGACTGCACTGCATGTTCACTGTGTGCCATGTTTGCACACATTTACAGACAGAGGGTGCAACATTAATCCTGTATTATTTTTTTGTTTCATATAAAAGACATATAAAATGAAACGAAGCATTTTTTCATATCAAACAGTGAAGCTTTTTTCTTGCTAAGAACATTAATGTGTCAGTTAAATCGCCCTTTAAAAGAGGTGTGGAAAAAAGAGAAAGTATCTAACACTGTATGTTACAACAGACTAACTGCTGGATACACAGTATCCACCAACTAACTGATTGGTTTTTCTCATCATGGCGTGGCTGGAGGCGATGATTACAGTGACAGTGGACTCTTAATGTTGGCTGAACTGAAGTGGTTGGAGGCTGGTAGGTGTGAGGAGGAAAAGATTTAATAAAGTAGTCATTTGTGCTCTCAAATTAAGAATTACTCCCTGAAACTACCCTCAAAAACTTAATTTATGTCCTTACATTAATAATTCCTTCCCTCACATTATACACTTGTGGACCAAAACCTATGTTATTATGTTATTGCCTTCAGTTCTTTTCTCCCTGGCACTCTCAGCTCAGATTTAATGACATTTTCATTTATATTTCGTACTGACATATGTGAATATTCTTTAGGTCTGTGAAACAGTAATCTGAGATTATGTAACACAATTTGAATGTAATTAGTGTAAAACAAGAGTATTAAGGGGTGAAGGTGATGTTACTAATTTGAAGGACAGAAATATCAGTATGGCTCTGTAATTTGATGCTGTTGATCACTTATAAATGATAAATTACTATTTAAAGGGGCACTGCACCAATTTCACATCAACTTCAGTTTACTCATCACATAGCGGACTACTCCGCCTGTGAAAAATGTTGTATAATGTCCTCTGTGGTACAGGAGGAACCTTTTTGTAAAAATAAAGTAACCCTGATGATGTCATTAAGCTTGGGTTGAAGACAACAAATATATAACAGGAAGTGTGTGTAACAAACTGGTGGTGCGGAGTTTGAAAGATGGGCATTTACTAGGCTGGAACAGTCTAACAAAAGATACAACTGAGTTGCATTATGGGGTATTAAACTTAGTAGTTGAGAGTAAAAGGTCAGTGTGTCTGTCCTCTGTTACTTGTTGTCTCTTGTGACTCATTTTACTTTATAGAGGTGCACTACTAATCGAGGGAGTGGCCCTTTAAGTGAGTAACTTTTCTTCTCTGACAACAAGCTGTCTGCACAATGATGGAATATTAGGGCCACTGATAAGGGGATAAAAATATTTCAAGAAAAATTGTACTATTGTAACGAGATTACTCAGGTTACTTTTCACGCAAAATTACAATTTTATTCCTGTAATATAACTTTTTCTCTCATTGTGGTTTTTGTAAAATACTTTATTCTCATATTTTGACTTTTCTTCAAAAATTACTTTATTTATTTTTATATTTAGTCCTGTAAAATTACGACTTTAATCTGAAATTCTGATTCAATCTCATAGTTGCCTCTGAAATCAAAACTTTTTTCTTTATTCTTTATCATTTTCTCTTGTAATATAGATATTCTACTAATACTACTTAGTTTAAATCATCACTTTATTCTCAAACTTATGACTCATTATAACTTTTAGCTCAAATTGACAACTTTAATATCAGTCTTTAATGAGTGGCCCTAATACTGCATCATACTGCGACAGTAAGCTGCTACTCAGGTGTTTTTCAGTATTGCTGAGAGTGATGGGTGGAAAATACGGTTGGGCAGTCTATATTTTATAGTACTGTTACACTATACCATTACCAGAGAACGCTGATAGATAATTCACTGGTCTCCAACGGCAGATGGGTAAAGGTCTCTTCTCTCAGTTTCTCGGTCTCTCTATAGTTACAAACACGAAAAACTAGTTTTGCTGTATTTTAGACAAAGTCAGTAACAAATGAAATGCATAATTAAAAACTAATTACAGGCATTTATATACATTCACAAGTGAATTTCACTCTTCAGCGACACAGGTAAGTCTGGCAAAAATGTAGCCAAAGGTAGCAGAACGGGGGAAAGAGTTTTCAAAATCGTGTGGCTCACGTACCCAGTGGACACACAGCGGCTATAATGGCAGCGGATGCTGTGGACATCGGTGCACAGAGCAAAGCTTTGGTGAGCAGGCATATGGAGAATGGAGAATGACGGGTTTTTATCAGATTGCACTTGTCAGAAGATGAAAAAGGGAACGCAAACGTGTTGCTTTGACTTAAGGAGCAGAGTCACTTGTGCTGATCCTGTAAATGCACAGTAAAGAGCAAAGTTTAGATTTTGTTCTTTGACAAAAAAAAGGCCATCGTCTCTTCAACCGTCAATAGTGGATTTTGATTTGCGCCAATCAGCACAAGCCTAGTGGAGAAGATATGTTTACCGCATGTTCCTGCTTTAAAACATCACTATTGATCTCAGCAGGAGCACTACAAAGCTTCACATCTTGCTCTCCTTCTCTTTCGCCTCTCAGGTCCATTGGTAGAGTTTCAGTTTGCCCCGAGAGAACAGGACACCTCGCTCTGTTTATTCCATCTCCCCGGGTGGTCGATTTTTCATTCCAGAAATAACCGGTACAAGGGTGCCCCCGGTGTATTTTCTGTTCAGACGCCACTTTAAACGACATCAAAGAATCACGCACAACCCCCTTGCCCCTCACACACTACCACCACCTGCTCTGTAACTCAGTCACTGTCTCACTGAAACATCTTTAGCCACAGAAAACTTGTGCTGTTTTATTTGAGGAAGAGCAACCTTCCCCGATTTAGAAAAACAAAACAAAAATCATCTTTTACCTCATGTTAAGCATGGACACATCCCTGAACTTTGTAGGAAATTTGCCTCTATATATACAATAGCTGTGTTATGACAGTGATTCACAAAAGCAATAGTGTAATAGTAAAACTACATTTGTGACATTTTTAATGACAAATTCGAAACACAAATATTCAACGACTTCTACACCCTGATAGCACATCAGACTTTTTTTTTTTTTTTCCACTTCTTCTTGGACTTTGTTAAAAACAATTAAAAAAGCATCATCAGCAATCAATCCAAGCAGATACATAAACTATACTCAGTGTTTTTGTATGATTGTATCAAATAAACTGTGTGTAATATGAACTAACATAATGGGTAGTTGTTTTTTATTGCCTTTCTACTGTACTTACAGACTGAACCAGAACAGAAAAAAGCACGAGGACTTCACAATAAATAGGAAAATACATTTTTGCCTGGCAAAATCCACTTCTACGCTCTGCTGAAATATTTTACTGTACACCCGTGTTGGCTGCTACAATTGAATTACGTGATTTATTAAAAAAAACAAATACATTAATCGATCATTAAACCGCCCCTATCCAAACACTAAAAGATGAGGGCTTCTTTAACTTTTTTTTTTTTTTACTCTCAGCAAGGGTCCTCCACAGTCTGACACGATGCATCAGATTCCTTTTTTTAACCTGAGCGGAAGGTTAACTCAAAGGCCCACCTCCTACCCCCACGCCCTTGGCAACAGTCTCTTAGCAACTTTTTCCTTTCCGTTGGCCCATATGTGATGTGTGGCTGCCAGATCTTCTTCAAAACCTCCTCCACTTTGACGTGAGATTTAATCATGTTACAGGTCGGGGGTTACGTGACGTTTTTCCTGAACACAAAAAATGTTAAAAGTCTGTAAACTTTTGAGGGATCCTGCTGTGCTTCTTTGCCATTCAAGCTAAAGAGTGAACTGATTGTGTCGTCTGTGTTCTGTGTGTGTATATGTTTAAAAGCAATGTATGTGTGCTTGTCTTTAACGAAAAGAAATGTTTAATATCTGCATACTGTGAACGGTAGCGAGGCGGACAGGTCAGAGACTCTTTCACCTCGGGGTGCCTCCACCATCAGCACCCGCCAGAAAGTCAAGAATCACACTCGTTGGCAAGTCAAAAAACAGTGAAGGCTTCGGTGCTGAAGTCCCTCCCTCTCTCTTTTCACCTAGAGAGATTGTCAGTGTTTTTATTTTTATTTTTAAAAGTGCTCCTTGAGGGGAGGGGTTGCAGGGTAGGGTGGCCTGTGGTCCAATCAGGACAGTCCATTCCAGGGGGATTCCTCAGACTGGGCGCTATAAAGACAAGATGGCAGCCAGGAGTATGAGGGCGGAGCTGAGCAGGAGGACTGAAGTCTGGCACCGACCAACCGAGTTCACATCCCTTCGTGCCGGCTCTGGTGACTCAGGACCGATGCCGTCTGAAGGGAGAGAGATGAATGTTGTCATTCACAAGCAAAGCAGCTCAAACATAAGACAGGAAGTGGTGCTTTTTCTCTGTGTTAAAATGACTAGGAAATCAGACACTGTAAGCAGGACTGATCACGCTGTCATTTATTCCTGTCTAAACCATTGAACCAACACATACAACAAGACCCCTACCCCCAGACCCCAAATCTTCAGGCACCCAAAGGTGACATCATGTTGTGTCAGTTGGTTTGTGGTAAATTAAATTACTGTAAATTTGCTTGGGAATGTGCAGCACTAAAGCAGAGCATTAGCTGAACTGAAAAGGGCCTTAAAGAGCAACCCATTATTAGCTTCAACGCAACCCCCTTCACATATTCATACAATGTATTCAAACCCTGACCCCTGTGTCAAAAAGTACACAGTGCTTATTCCTAAATAACATTTTGATTGAAAGAATGGTTACGTTTACACAAAACACAACATATGTTTATTCTCTTTCTTTCTGCAAGGTAGACGAGAAAATCAATACCACTTTCATATCTCTTTGTTAAATATGAAGCTATGCCTCAGGAGATGGTTAGCTAAGCATTTACAGGAGGTTATGTGTGGGACTATTTCTTGGCTTGGTGCAGTGAGTTCCCCTTAAAACCACAATACTTTTTGTATAAATTAAAAAAAGAGAAATAACCAAGATAATTCGACTGGTTTTCAGTCTTTATGCTAAGCTATGCTAACCATTTCTTAGTTCTAGCTTCATGTTTAGCACATAGACATGAGAGTGGTATCTTACTCTCAGCAAAAAAGTATAAATAAGTATATTTCCCAAAATGTTGAATTATTACTTTAGTCAAATCACCACAGATATGGGGGCCAATAGGGGCCCAGAGTTAGTTTTTGACCTGGGGCCCCCTAGCTTGTTAATCCGGCCATGATGTACAAGCAAAATTCTACTTACTCTAAACAAAAACAAACACTATGTAGACACAGAAATACAAACGTTTACACACAACTCGCCTGCCAATAACCTACAATATTAACCCCAATTGACATGCAATAGGTAAACTTATTTATGTATCAGTTACTAAAAATGCGTGTACCAGCTTGCTATGTCACAAAAATTCATACATTATTCTTGTCTGCATTTAAAAATGACAATTACAGTTAAAAGTTCCTTATTATATACTAATAACAATAACAAATAACACATTTTCTTCAGTTCTTAAACTCTCCTTAATACATATTCATGAAACTTTTTTTAAGGAAATGAAAAAAAAGAAATATTATCAGCAGACGTAGCAGTTGTGGGAAATGTAAATTCTGCCTCTAAAGCACACACTCAAACATTATGTACTGTTTATTTCCACCAACCTCTGGGTTCTAGGGAGTTGTGACTGTTGTCCTCAAAATCGACCCCTTCCTGCACGCTCCCAGAGCTTTTCACACAATTGTCTTAGAAAAACAAAGAAGAGAGAGGATATGTGAAGATTAGAGAACTCGAGCGTCACTCGTCCACAGGCTGACCACGAGCTGTTGCACAACAGAATGGGAAACCAGGCAGAGTAGACACAACAATCCGTGACTCACTTTGAGGCCTGACGAAGACTTTGAGTCGAAGGCAGCTCCGTCTTCCCTTGTCGTCAGTGATGGAGGCTGTGGAGACATCACGCAGAGTTAAGAACAAAACACTTTATGCACGTTGCCTATGCTTTTCCATTTCAAAATGCCTTCCTTGATCAGATCTAGGACTGCATGGTTATGGTTTAAAAGGGCAGACGTCATATTTTGCTCAAAAATCACATCATGAGTCATCCATCTGGAAACAAAACAGTTTTGTTAGAAAACAATTAAATTAGAATTTCTTTTTTTTTGACAAAATTGCCTTCACTTCCATATTATTCTTTATAAACAGACAACAAAGGAAATGGCTTTAAATGTATACATTTTTAAATCAAACTAGGCACACAAGAGAAATGATTCACCCAAACACAGAAAAGTATACGTTTCAACACATGGAATAAGGTTTAAAACATCAGAACATTTTAACTCAATAAAACAACCATTCTTCTCTAGCAATTTGTTACCAGTATGATACTATAAACACCTGCAAGACAAAGTTTAACTGAACTGCCAAACAGAAATATTGGAATAATAATAATAAAAATACCTATTTAAGTGAACTTTTACATTTTGCTTTTTCAGAATTTCTTGTGTTTAGACATTTAACATTTGAGAAGTGTTAATAAAGGCTTCTGCAAAAAATGTGTTTATATTTCTCAAGGTTTTTGGTATCAATACTGAAACTCAGATACTGTAAGTATCCGGAATCACACTTATTGTTAATTCAGGTCTCTTATTACTTGAACTGAATGAAGATACTGACGGAATCAGACGCGATATAAGCCTACAAGTAATACAAACTAAACTGATTCTTGATGAAACAGCTTTTACTAGTAATTTCAAGTGACACTAAGTTTTAAAAGTTACAAAAATATTCTTTTTTAAGTACTTTTTACTAGGTATTTTGATTTCACAGTACAAATAAAAATGAAAAAATGAAGTCAGTGTCACTTAAAATCACTAAAGAATGTTTTTTTTACTTTCTAATTTTGGATATAATCAATGTCAACTTATCTGGTTTTACAGTGTGGGAAAAAACTTGAAACTTCAGCTTCTAAAGCGGGCCCCTAGCTGGCCCCTCCTTACCAGTTAACTACAGTATGTTTGTAATGCAAGTCTTGAAGCCTGGCTCATTACATGTTGGACCTCGACCAACCAGAAATTCACCGCAAGAACCTCTGACTCCATGATCACCTAATCTACATCACCAAAGAATCATGCAGTTTGATTCCAACACAAGTTTTGTGCTCCTGCTAATACAAACCCACTCACCATTCTCCATTATTCACAGCTTCACCTGACCTTCACTCTAAAATCCCCCTCCGTTCATAAATATCGGCTAAGCAGTAGAAACGAACAATCTGACAAGGTCGATTGTTTCTTCATCAGAGGTACTCCACCGTATCCCTTTAAATACAGTCTGAAGAGCTTTACCTCGTTTCCTGAACTTCCCTCTCATCCTGATGTGAAACGTGCTCCATATTTTATGATACGAAACAACTCAATGTCACCCTCATATTTCCAAGTCTAATTTGGCCAGGGGCAGCCGTTTCTGCAGATGTGTGTCATGCTGTTATGCTCACCTACAAAATCTCATTTCCTCTGTTTTCTGATTGTGAAAGGCAATCATTAAAAACAAAACTTTTTTTCTGTAGTTGGTGTGATTGTTTTGCAGAGCTACCAAATCTAATTTGTTTTCAACTAGTGCTGGGGACCAAGTAGCTAATAGAGCGCTGAGGGTGTCTCCAGCTGTGACGAATGACTTCAACTTCTGTCTGCACTTTTGTCAAGAATCTTTCCATGTTTTGTCTGGCCTTATGTTCATCCCACAATAGATTTTCTCTCTTTCTCTTTATCTGACTCGGTACTCTGACCTACTCATATTCTCCCCTGAAACACACACACACACAACCTTGAGTGTGTTTGGATATTCATGGGCGTGTGTCGCTGGGTATGCATGCATGCATGTACGTGGTTTCTCGAGTATGTGCATCTGTGCACAGACGTGCCCATAGTTTGTCCTCAGACACTCTTCTATCCTTTCGCCCAGACGCTCCATGTGATGGATTCTGGCTCAGCAGTGAATTCCTGATAAAAGTAAACCATGTCAGTGTTTCCACTGTCGCAAATGACTGGTTCTTATTTCAAAAGGTACTTTATCAGATACCGCGCGGCTGTGAGAGGAGATAAAAATCATCCCTAAAAGTTCACCCTGAGAGGAATATTGCAAGTGAAGCAGCAGAGGGAGGAAATAAATGACAGAGAACCGGTGTCAATCACGCTGCTTCTGTCTGTGTCAGCGGGTATCGAGTAACTTACCTCACACCCTGGCGGTGGCTGGAACAGACGGGAGAACTCACTGTCTCAGTTTCTGTCTCTGAACTCGACTGGCCAAAGACCAGTCTTTCTCTTTCTTTATGCTTCTCATGCTCCTTCTGTCTCTGTTTCCCTGGCTGCTGTTATCTCTCGCTTCTTTGTTTGAGTCCTATAAAAACAGTTCTTCTGCAGTCTCGCACGAAAGACTTGACGGACAGATATATCGAGACACATTATAGGACAAATGAAAGAAACCATTGTCCCAAGCTCCCCGTCTAGGACATTTTATTGATCTTATGAAATTATTCCGATTAGGGCTGCAACTTCCAATTAGTCTGGTCTACAAAATGTCAGAAAGTAGCAAAAAATGTCACAAGTTCCCAAGCCCGAGGGTGACGTCTTTAAATATTATTGGCTCATGGTCCATTGGTCAGACAAAATGAGCAGTCCCCCCTCCACTCAGAAATCTCTTTCTCTTCTTGTTCCTACTGTTGGATGTTTGAGCAGAATTCGACACTAGAAGGATGTTTTTACATTCATCTGCTGAAAGTGGAAAGTTCCTGTGTGCTCATTGAAAATCTGATTTGAAGGGGCACATGATTTGTGACACCATTTACAATAAGATAAAACCGAGAAAAGCAGCAATTTCTCACATTTCAAAATATGGAACCAGCTAATGAAGTTTGGAATTTTGGTTTTATAAATACCTAATAGTTTATACATTTTCTGTCTTTTGATTAATATACGAATTGGTCAGTCATTTCAGCACTAATTGTTTTTTTTCCAACGACTAGTACTGTAGATTTTTTCCCCCACAGCAAACAGGGAATTTCTCTTCACTAAATCAGTGAGCAAGATAATATTAAACTGCAGGTAACCATAGCAACAATACATATGCCTCACACCGCATTGCAATTAACTCACAGGTAACACATAGTTTAAACTGATATCATATTTTAGATGGCAACATATTGAAATAGCAGTTATTAGCACTGTAACAAGCTGTTCTCAATATATTTTTGAAATATATTGCTCCTAACACTCAACCAGCACTGAACATCCACAGAAGTCTGTGCTGCAAAAAGAGATATATCGCATTAACAGTAGCTGCAGTTGTTTTTGAACTGTAAAAAGGCCAAATTAAAACTATGAAACCACTGTAACAGGAAAAAAAAACACACAGCCGCTCTTGTGTTCCTTTGGTAAGTAACCATGGCATAAGCAGGACAATGCACCCCGGGTTGTTACTGCATTATCTCTAACGGACGTCTTATTATTGCTTTGATTTCACTTCAGTTGTTTGGGATTATTTGTCAGGTGACCTCTCCGATGTTCTGTCTCTTTCTACCATTTCCCACTCTCATTCTTTATCTTTCTCTGACACCGCGTCACACTGTCTTTCTCTCATCTCACTTTCTCACCCTCTTTCTCCCCCCCATACCGCCATCCCTTCACAGATTCCAACACACACACAATTACCCAACTGTCTCTCCTCCTCTCTCTCATGTCTGCCACTGAGGTCAGAGTCTGGGTTTTCTATCCTCGAGCAACACAGCCGTGCTTCACCATGACTGTAACTCCAGCTCTGCCTGCAACTCTAGACCCAGCGTTAGTCAGGTCATCCGGCCGCCGCCTCACCATGACAACGGGACGACGGTATAACCAGCCGGTCACACGCTCAGGCACATGTTACATGTTCAGTCATGTGCTGCGGGACTCATGATCGTCACCATCGCACATTCGGGACTGGCAGCACATATCACAGATCACTAAACAGGCTGGGATACCGTGTGAGGCCAGGCTTTGGTGTGACTGTGAGGTGAATTAGACAGATCCTGATATAAATACTGCGGGATCAGATGTTTTTCTTGTGATCATAGGTTTATCTTGGGGAAACAAAGCCTTTTGTCTTTGCTTCAGCTGCGAGAAGCTAAAGGGAAACTGTCGGGGCACTGGGCTGGCGGGGTTCATGTCATTATCGATGTAGATCTGCGCTGGCTGTATGGAGCGGGACCCGGGCGTTTGAAGCGCGAGGGCTTTACAGGGAGACAGTCATCTCTCTCACACAGGGAGAGCCAGACTCTCAACTGTCTCCTCTGAAAATTGGATTTCTATCCCCTGAGATTAGGATCAGGCTTTCCCCGCTCCACTGAGGCTCTATTAGAAAAACATGCCGCCCTCTGAGGCCATGAGAAGCTCACAGCACAGACCTCATCGTCATTTTGGTGACCTTTGACCTTCTAGGACCAGCCGCAATACTGATCTCACCAGGGCAGCTTTCCTCCGGGTGTTTGTCTGCCTGCCAGACGGGCACGGCCTTAGCCAACTGCAGGTGTCATCTATTTGACGTGGCCCCACCCCCTCTTCCACCCTGCCTGGGGCAACTGACGATCACCACGGAGGAAGACAAAGGAGTATCTGTCTTCACTGAGACAAGAAGACATGAGCCCCCCTTCAATGTGTCATTTACATGACCACTTAACAGATTCCCAAACCATATTATATGTACAACACTGGTATTAACTATCAGCTATTGTTGGGCTTTGTTAGAGCAAGACACAGTCAACATGCAATTTGACACTGATACCAGCAGCTGATAAAACATAGTTTACTGTAATGCAACCGGCATTTCTGGATGATGCTGCTGGGAAAAAAACAAGGATCCATCTGAAAAAATATGTTTTTCATGTGTGACAGCAATACTTCTTTTCTCACTGACGCCAATATAAGTTTCAAGGCTCCGAGAAAGTCTTTGAGAGAATACATGATGATATACTGTAAGCTTTCAATGATAAAAAAAAGTCTTTCCTACACATTTGGAGGCTCAAGAAGTAATAGTCCTGTTTTTATGCAGAGACAATGTTAGCTGACTGACAGTCGAAGCACCTTGAGGTTTGCGAGTACAAAAGATAAGCAACTGCATTAGAAAATATCAAGTTCTTTGATAAAAAAGTCAAAAAGTACAAGCCTGTGGACAAAAACTTTTTCGGTACAGAAAATTAAATCACCCTTACTAATGGTGCATTCCATTTGAACTGGTAAGACGAAAGTTCCCAGTCAGAAATTCAAACTGCAATGCCCCCCTGAAGTTGGATTTCCAACTAGGAAAGTCAGAAGAATCTCACTCAACCTCAAAATCCAACATAGCAGCTCCTTCTGTCTTTTGTATTACTTTAACTTAGTCGTACACACATTACCTGTCTGTGGACAACTGGTATTGCTAACAATGACTCATGGCTAACCTGGCAGGAGCTTGGTTTTCTGACTTGTACTGGAACGTTGTCAACTTGGGTGTAATGTCATTCCCAGCTCCAACTTCAGACTTCCGGGGTAAATGGAACGCACTATAATTTGCTGTTGGTACACAGCGAGCTAAAGCTAAGGATTACATTGTGTAGAAACCTGATTCAGTAACTTAAAGCCGCACTAATCAATATTGCCGTTTTAACAGTGGATCAAATTACTATGTGTAATGTGAAAGAGTTGCTGTGCTATTCCACTCAGTTCTGGAGCATTTTAGCCTATTTTAGCTAATAGTTTTGTTTTTAGCCCAAAACTTTTCTATTCATCACACCAAACAGGTGAACCAAGTCTTTCTAAGTGGAGGAACACAGAGATTACCATTCAAATGAGAATTTATTGGTATACATAATTCCAGCTCTTCTTTCCAACTATACCACTTTATACAATGTGAGGACAAATATCGGTGTTATGTGAAATACTGACTATAAGGCCTTGGTATTTTATGTCTCTGTCTTTTGTTATTTCATCCCGTGCTCAGATCCTGTGTTCTTAGAGGGGGAAAAGTGTCTTTAGTGAACAAGGATCTGATGGATGAGTCATGAATCTGAGTCAGTGAGAGATAGTCCATATGGCCTGAAACTGCTCGAAGCCATATGGACTGTCTCTCAGCCTTTCTCTCTCTCTCTCTCTGGATGATCAATCATCATCAAAGAATACAAGAACATGGTCTTCACTCATTTTCACATCAACCAGAGCCAACTGAACAAATGAAGCAGAATTAGGCAATCTATGATTTTTCTTATCAACATCCAAGGAATTGCAACAACATCAACAATTCTCTGGCACGGCTAACAGTTAGACCACAATTTCCCCAAACAATACAGTCACATTTATGCAACGGAGTCGGGTAGACTAGCCAATGGACACAGAAATCCAACAAAAACCTTTGGAGACGGGTAATAAATCACAATACAAAACTGCAACAAAAATACAGATTTAGATTTGGTTCAAGTTGCATGAGGACAATGCTAATGTTCTTCCCAGTGCATCACCCAAGATCAGTGAGACAAAGACCACATTGACGTGAGGAGAGTGTTAGGTCCATTGACTGATATTTTACTTAACCACTTAAAGGAACAGTTCACCCCAAAATCAAAAATCTGTATTTTGTAATGTTTGCTAGCTCACTGAGATTGCTAACGTTCAGCTATGGTTGGCGGCTGTAGTTTGGTAGAAAACAAAATAATTACCCTGTGAAACTGCTTACAACATGGTCTGTGGATTATCATGGGTAACCGGGTCATGATATCTGGAAAATAGACATTGCTGTTGAGATTTTCAAATGTAATTTTTTGGCACTTTGAGTGCCACAGGCTGAGTGCCATCTGGTTCCATTATATTTGAGAGAAGGCAGACATCTCTACGGCTGATATCTCCAAAACTCAGCATCTCACACAAAAACAATCCAGATGGCACTTCTCGTAAGAGGAAACATTCTATTGTTGTCTAATGTTGTTGTGATCTCAATCTTCATTACAAACACACAGAACCTAATTTTTAGCTTCTAGTGGAGGTCGCAAAGTTTTCAAAGATACAAAATGTGTCAAGATGGAATTTAAGGGGAAATCAATGAAGATGATGATGAGTCAAACTGTGCATCTTTTTTTAATGTATCAGAGTTTTTAGGCAGCTTTCTGAAACACCTGCTCTGGGTCTATGGAGAAAAAAACTTTCCCAATACTTCCCCAACCCACTCACCAATCTCCTTGGATTGGATATCTTTATTATGTGCTTTGTTGCAATGCCAAGATTGTGTTTTCTTTTCACTGACTCTTACACTCCTTACTATTGGTTTCTGTTATGTGTGAAGCTTCTCTGACCGATGTCAGATAAATACCGAAAATCTACCATGGAGCACACAGTATCTCATTTAGCCCTTCTCTTCTGCCCCTGCAGGGCACTGACTTCACTTATGAAAACATGACTTCCCAGCTGTTTGTTTTCCTGTGTCTTCTCACAGGGAGGAGAAAGCTTAGCTCAGCCAGCCAGCAACAAAAGACACTTCAGACGAGACCTCAGTTGAGAACAGTAGAGTAAGTTTTGCTCCCTCTGGCTTGTATTTTGGCTTGGCCCTCCTTCCAAGGACTTGCAAAACAAAACCCGAACATTGCTGCTGTCTTTTTGCAACATTCCAAGATGAAACTGATCTTCTGATGTGACTCAATGTTAATAAATGTAAATCTTTTTATTTAAGTGCTGACACAATACCTGGGTTTCAGTGCTGATACCACAATACTTTCTGGGCGCCTCACTTTGAGATATTTGACAATGACTTTCTCCAAAAACATTTTTTCATTTAACTAAAGAAGCCAGAGTTGTCAGATGATAAATGTTGTTTAAACACAAGCAGCTGTAATAGAACTTTATGGCAAAATGTGCATTTAAATCAGTAACTATCTGATTTCTGTCTGTATACAAAGTACAAGAATTTCTGCAAATAAGAGCATACTCACAGATATAGTAATACTCTCTGCCAGGGCGGAACTCGAAGCCCAAGGAGAAGGGAGTAAAGAGCTGGAACTTCTCGGAAAACTTCAGTGGTCCATTAGGCGACAGAGGCCTGTTGCACTCCCAGCGCTTGAAGCCCTTGGCGGTGTGGTCACAGGAGCTGTAGCCATCGTAGTTCACCATGTAGAGGATGTAGCGCTCTGCCCTATCGTCAGAGACTAGGCCCATGTAGTGCGGACAGTAGACGTCAAGGTAGTCATTGATGCAGACATCGATGTGGTAATCACCCCGGTAAAACCTGGAGAAGAGAGTGAGACAATGGGGAAATGTGAATATATGATTGACAAATCTTCATAAGAAAAATTATAAGTAAGTTTTTTTTTAATTGTTCTTACAAGGTCAAACTTGAAAGCAGAAAGATTCATTTCTTAAGAGAGTCTCAAGTAAGTCAAATTTGAAGCCCTTACTTTGGTCACTTAAAGGTACCCTATGGAGTTTTTGTCAACTAGTAGCGCTGTATGTGTGGGTCCCTGTATTGTTTTGCACACAAGCATGCAGGTGTTGCAATGCATGTTCTACTGACTGACAGGTAGGCAGGAAGGAAAAGGCAGGAAAGTGGAAGACCCCTAGCAAGGACAAGCGCAGGTTTCAAAATTATCCAAAAAACGTGTTGAGGGAGGAGAGGTATACACATTTTTTAGACCTCAAGGATACACCCAATGCAGAGTCCAAATTCCAAGTCTACACCTCTGAAATCTACAGAATAGTTCTCATTCACACCAAAGAAACATGTGAGCACTTATGCTTACATGGCTGAATTTAACTGTGTTTATAATCCACAGTGAGGGCAGTTTTTTGCATGTCAGCAATAATACTAACAAGATTAATCTATTATCGGTGAGGTGATGGTCCTGCGTGTTTACATGCAAGGGTAATTCCCACAGGAGCATCATGTGATCGCTGATCTTGACCTTTATTTACCAAATGAAAATGTGCTGAGTATGCACGCTCTCTCTGAAGCAGCCAGCTTTGTTTTATCTCCACATTTAACATTTAGATCCCCTGAAGCAGTGTTTTGCTCAAGGGCACACTAGTAGCAGCGTGGATGGAAAGACAGTAACTCATTGATTTGTTTGGGGAGTCTCTCGCCATCATGCTCCTTCATGATGCATTCTCCAAAGATTTATCCAACACCTGATGACAAGAGAAGATACTTTAGGTATCTTAGCGAGGCCACAGCGGAAGAAAAAAGTTACCATATGTGCTCTGAAACTGAGGCCGGACTGTGAAAGACACATCCAGGCTATGGCTCCTCCGGTGTTGTTTACAGAATCTCATCATGTCAGTCTTGATCATCCCGAGTCTCTTGTGAGACTCACCCGAATCCCCCTGCAACACACCCGCCCCGGTGCAAACCCCTTACGACGCACACTAGTCAGTCCTAAGCCATATATCAATGTTAGTGCTCAGCAGCTATGACTTATGCTGGTGCTGAAATTAAAGTCCCCTAGCGTTACAGGGCTAATCCCCTGGTTAGCATGTGCCTTTAGCAGCTTTAAGAGGATCCCTCTGTAGAATGAGATTTTCATTAGCCCAATATGACAGCTTGATGTAGGAGCCCCTTGTGGAATCTCCAAGTCTGGGAAAATGAGGCCTGTTCTCAAGCTTCGCCTTGAAACAGCCCCGAGATTTTTCGCCTGGTGTTTGCTGTAAACCGAGTGGACAGGAGAAAGGGGGGAAACAGTGCAACGGCGAGATATGCCAGGTATTCATTCCTGAGGAGAGTGATTGGAAACACATATTCCCATAGGCGACGTATAAGGTTGCATTTCTGAGGCTTTTAGCAAGAGACAGATTAGGCTTGGACAGCCGGCTGGTTGTGTCTCTATAGCTGCTAATGGCCCGCGGTTCAGTATCACTGACATACTGCGGATGTCTTCAATACTCCACCTCTGTTCATTGACACAGCGAGGGCTGTAGGGGGAGACAGGCCAGAGACCGTGTTGAAGCATGCAGCAGGCTGATGATCCGATACGGGTGAACTCGTCAGTTTAGCCTGACGTTTCACCGGGCCTCGCTGTCCATGAATCAGACATTACGCCTACTCTTGCTCCTCGCCAAGGGAACGGGAGCACCAGTCAGCTGATCTGAGGCCAGGTGAGACAGGGAGGGAGGGAGCTGAGACGCAGCTGTTACCGCTGACACGTACATGATGGGGCTTTGGGAGGCGTGAGATAGCATAAAGGGAGGTGTGTGCTCGCCGTGGCCTGCTGGGGGTATCAGGTTGTCGTTACACAGATTGTAAATGTGCTGCAGGATTAGTAGCCGTCCTACTGGGTTTGCAGGGGCAACAAATGAGCGGATGTGTGTGTGTGTGTGTATGCATGATAGCGGGATGTGTGGGTGTCTTGTGGCATCAGCAGCCATATTCTAATCTTTTTCTCTCTCTAATTATAGTCTGGTCAGATGTGAAACCAAAGCCCTTGTTTTCTCTCCCCAGTTTTTTTCCCCTCCAGCACCAGCTGAGCGCATTGGCTCCAGGCAGGCACAGCATGGCCTCCCTTAGCCTCAGTTTCAGAGCTGCTCGCTGATATTATGACTACCAGGGGTCAACCGGCTCCACAGTATCATGTCCTCAGCCGGAGGCCCTGTGGGATAGCATGCTTTGTCCTCATGTGTCTTTACAAAGCCTTAAAAGTTTGCTTCAACCTCGCATGTGTCAGTGGCTGTCAATCAAACCGGACCCAGAGGAACAGCTAAGATTAGTCAGGATTAGAGAGTTTCTAACTAGTGTCTTTGTGAGGGTTAGGTGGGAAAAAGTTTGTGAAAGTGATAAAGACCCTGTTCACTTCAGAGCTGGATTGTATTCAGATACCTGGTTGGGTCTGGAGTGGAGCGTTTACTCCTGGCATCAACAAGCACATCAAAATCAGTCTCCAGTGGCCACTTCTGATTGGATTTCACTTGTCCACAGAAACCAATACATTCATGACTAATCAATGCTCAGTGCATTATTTTACTTGGTTGATGTTTTGGGGATAAATAAATGAATTAAAGGGCTGCTGCACCTGTTGCATTATGAAATGTGTCTTTCTTACAAAACCAATTCATGCACACAATTCATTTGTGATTTAGCCAATGCTGTCAGTTTAGTTATCTTGATGACTAAAGTACATTTCCTGACAGGACCAAACTTTTAAAGCTACAATTTGCTGAAAGCTGCATTGGATTTTAGGTCATGCTGGAATGGCAGTCTGACTATACTATACTTTACACACTATACAAAATACTGTGCCATGGGAGGGCACTGCGCCCCAATGCTCCCGCTTAGCAACAGCCTAGGAAACAACGTCCAGCCCTGTCTTCCTGCAAATGTAGCTTGGGTTATCAGCCTTTTTATTTTGCTATCCTTTTTGATCACATTACCACAGATGGATCTGGATTGCAGTTCTGAACAGGGTCAAATGTGGCCAAGCATATGCAGCAAAGAGGCTGTGTACAACTAAAAGCTGAACTACGGACTGTAGGTGTTTATTACAGAAGACGATAAAATAAAATGCTGTGAGAGAAGCAAGAGAGCCAACAGATGATCCAGATGTTTGCCAGATGGAGGCTATAAGGAGGTTTTTGAGTGGCAGAGATGAAATATTGATAAGACGCAGAGCCATAAAGACACAGCCTGACTCAAGATGTGCTCCAATAGATGACATTTCATCTCTCAATGTCTTTTGGTTTCTTCTTTGGAGGAGGCTGGCCAGAGACTTTCTCCTGCTGATCTTCACTCTGATCTATACCGTCTTTACCCTGAGACTCCGAGAACATCCGTCACCACCCCTCCATGGGCTGGACTAGTGTGACAAAAAAAAGGGTAATTTATTTACAGAGCTATAAACCTTCAGCAGTACTCACAAACTTCAGCATGAGGGTTTCTTTGTTTTCATTACCAGCAAGATTTATTCATCTGTTTTTCTAAATGGCTTTGTTGTTATAGGCTATTTAGTGAGTCATTAAGCCTTCACAGGGCTGATCGAGGCAATTTCAACAGTTGTGTTTTCCTTTTTGCCGTTGTTCTGAGCAGCAGGGTGTGGTGAAGGCTGATTGAGGGTTTGGAGGTTTTGATAGCAGGAGGCCAAAGAAGAATCAGAACCTTGTCAAAAAACAAAAAAAACAAAAAACCCCCAGCACGGTTCAGCAGTTCAGTGTCAGTTATAAATGTGTCATAATGAGCCATTAAGAAAATAAAAGCACCTAAATCCTAAATCCATTTGTCTTGGGGATTAATGATCCCTGATTGGCTGAGTTACTCGCGGCCAGTTGGAGGGGCTTATCAATGAATCAGTAACTGGAGTTCTTGACAAAGCACGCATCTACAGATAATCCCTCTTTTCAGTGAGCTCCCCTGCTTGTTTGCTTTCTTTATCCCCTTCTGTTGTGTTATTGTCACTCTGTGGCCTGGCACAGGTAAGGTATGGCGGAGCCAGTATGGAGAGAAACAGACAAAGGGAAAGAAGGGAGCCAATGGGAAGAGAAGGGAAGAGAGAGTGGGAGTGAGTAGAAGAAAAAGTGACAGGAAACAGGAGAGGAAGAGAAGAATGTAAAAGAGAAGAGGGTGTAAAAGTGAAAGGCAGTGAGGGAAGTAGGGGGAAGTCCCCCCTTAAAGTTCCCAAAGATATCCTAAAATTCAGGTTATCAACAAGTGCTTATAACTAAATAAACAAAAATATCTGTATGAGAACTTTTTCTCTATTTGCTCTTTACAGGCAACTTCCAAGGAAAGTATTATGAAATTGCAGAGCCATACATACAGTGTTATGGTTGTATTTTAAAAAGTCCTCTACATTTTGTCTGGAAAACGTTTGTTGTTTGGTTTAGAAATAATGAATTCTTTATGTGTTCCTTTTTTATTATTTGTTGGCATGAATGAAAATTTAAAAAAGAGAAATCCTTCACACATGAGGTACTTGATGAAGTGAAGTTGCTTCACATTTAGCTGTGTGCAGACATTTTTTCCAATATGTTGTGGGCATTTAAATAGTCAATTTATATATTTCCAAAACAGAAAAGAGTGGAATTATCCCAAAATATTTAGCTAAATTTGAAACTGTATTTTGTCTGGAAATCTGGTGGTATTAACAAACAGTGGGAGGATTTACATTCTGCAGAGGATGTGACCTCGGTTCATGTTCTTTCTAGGAGCCAAAGACTGGAGAGAGAATGAGAATTACAAGGGACAACAGAGAAGAGGGATACATAGAAGATAATAGAAGCAATTAGGAGGGAGAAAAGAGAGAAGACAAC